GGAGCTCAAGTTTGTGGACTCGGTCAGGCGCCAGTTTGAGTTCAGTGTAGACTCCTTCCAGATCATCCTGGACTCGCTGCTGCTCTTTGGCCAGTGCTCATCCACGCCCATGTCTGAGGCCTTCCACCCAACGGTCACCGGTGAGAGCTTGTACGGGGACTTTGCCGAGGCCCTGGACCACCTGCGGCACCGCGTCATCGCCACGCGCAGCCCCGAGGAGATCCGCGGTGGCGGCCTCCTCAAGTACTGCCACCTCCTGGTGCGGGGCTTCAGGCCGCGGCCCAGCACCGACGTGCGCGCCCTGCAACGGTACATGTGCTCCCGCTTCTTCATCGACTTCCCAGACGTGGTGGAGCAGCGGCGCACGCTGGAGCGCTACCTGGAGGCCCATTTCAGCGGGGCCGACTCGGCCCGCCGCTACGCCTGCCTGGTGACGCTGCACTGGGTGGTCAATGAGAGCACCGTGTGCCTCATGAGCCACGAGCGGCGCCAGACGCTGGACCTCATCGCCACGCTCGCGCTCCAGGCGCTGGCCGAGCAGGGCCCGGCTGCCGCGGCCGCCCTGGCCTGGCGCCCCCCAGGCCCCGACGGGGTCGTGCCTGCCACGGTCAGTTACTACGTGACTCCCATGCAGCCTCTGCTGGCTCGGGCCCACTCCTATCCCACCTGGCTGCCTTGTAACTGACTCAGACCCTGGCCGGAAGGTACTGGGCCTTCCCCGATGGAGTGGGGCCTCCACCAGCGTGCAGGGGGTGTGACCAGAGACAGGCAGCCTGTGCCGAGTGGCCCAGCACTGCTGCAGGGTTGGGCCTTGGACTGAACAGACCAGACCCCGCCCATCCCCGAGTGAGCCCCCCCCCCCCGCCCCGGTATTGATAGACCTTTGGGTTATTGCACCCCACTTTTGGACCAGCATATGGTGGGGTGCAGGGGCCGTTTGTCTTGGGGGTCAGTGGCCTTCAGGAGACAAAGCTTGTTTGGGGTGGTAGCCTCAATGCTCATCATCTTAGGCTGATTTCTGTGGCCAAGAAAGGGTCTTTTTGGGTAAGGCCAGCCCACTGTGATCCCAGCAGCCTCGGAAGCCCTGCAGCCCACACGACGGCTAAAATATGGTATGTTATAGGAACTACTCACTCTGGGTTGGGCCAGACCCTTAACAGGGCCTGGCGATCCAACCTGACTAATCACTGGGAGGAGGGAAACTGAGGCGGGAGGCGGCTACCTGGGTTTGCAGAGGGATAGGTTTAGCTCAATTCCCAAACACCCCTACCCCAAGCTGTCAAGGTGTGTGGGTGAGCAGAAGCCAAGCTGCCAGGGGTAGGACACAGCCCATGCCCCTTCTGGGGTGTTGCTCCCTTCCCCTGTGTTGTGAGGATCCCTCTGCCTAGGAGCTTGTTCTTCGAAGAGTGCTGGGCCCAAAGTGGCCACAGTCAAGTGCTCCCACCCCACTGACCTGGTTACAGGGTCTTCACTTGGAGGAAGGGAACCATGCCCAACCTCCTCTCCCATCCCTCTGGATTTGTCACCATTTTGCACTCTTAACACCTGCCAATAAAGATTGTCTACACTAAACCTAGCACCATGATTTCTCCTGGGGGAAGGACCGTCCATGGTTTTGGGGGCCCCGGCTGCCTCTCCCAGCCTGCGCCTGGCCTGCATTGTAGGGCAGGGACATTTGGGTGGCTTGGTGTCTGAATCCTGGGCTATGGCTGGGGAGTTGCCCCTCCTTCCCTCAACACCAGCCCCGGCTGGAGAACTGTGCCAGGAGCGCAGCTCTACACGTGGGACGTATACCTGCAAATTGCCTCAGCAAGTCTCTTGTTAAAGAGTAAATATTTCAGTATTTCCTACCTGAAGTCCTGATGACCCTGGGCTTAGCCTAACACTCCAGTGCTCAGGGCTGCTTGACCCCAGCTCTGCCCACCCAACCCCACTCTTTCTCAGGAAGCAGGTGGAAGACAAGCTGAATGTGAATTGGAGACCCCTTCAGTAGTGGCAGCTGAGACTGGGGAACTTCTAGCATCCTCCAGAGCAAGAGCCCAGGTTTGGCCTCCCTACCTGGGAGGGAGGTTCCATCAATCCTCTGGTTCCCTCTCTTACTCCCAAGTGCTGATGGGCACACTCTGGCCTGCTCTAAACAGGTCCCCTAGAGGGGCAGGGTCGTTCCTTTCCAAACCTAGCTGGGGCCATGCCCGGCTCTCGGGGAGCTCTTCCCTTGGGGCATCAGCCAGTCACTGGCCTGGACGCTGCCCACTGTTTATCCAGCCCCTTTGATCCAGGGATGGCAAAGCCCTTAACATATTCCACCTCATTAGTGGTTTCTGAAGTGGTGGCTTTGATGGTTCCAGCCAAGCTAAAAAAAACAAGGCCTCAGAGGAGCCCCCAGGTGACCTGGGTGAGTCCGTCCACCTCACCTGCTCAGTGAGTTCCTGCAGGGCTCAAAAGGGCTAGAAAGGTGAGTGGAAAGACTTTCTTGGCTTGGTGACTGAAAACAGCACCCCCACACACACCCTGGTTGTGCCCACCCAGCTAGGGGCCTGGAAGAAATTGTTTCTCCCAGCTCCTGATGTGGGCATGAGGGGACGTTTGCAGTATATAAAGCACGCAGGTTTAGCCTGCTGGGGTGGGCAGGCGGGTTCACCTGGATGTGCTTGTTTCAGAACGTAAGAAAGCTAGACACCCACAGGATGTGTGTATACTGCGTTCAGCCCACCGTGTGCCAGCGAGCCCTGTAGGAGCTGGAATACATCGGCAAACAAAAGACCAAGATTCCCGACTCTTTTGAAGATTACACTCTAATACGGTAGACAGAAAATAAATTAAATGATGTGGTCTTATAAGGTCAGTGATGCTTAAAAGTATGTGGGAGGGTAAGGGATTGGAAGTGCTGGGGTATGTGACTTTAAAAAGTCAGGGTGAGGGGCGCCTGGGTAACTCAGTTGGTTAAGCGACTGCCTTTGGCTCAGGTCATGATCCTGGAGTCCCTGGATCGAGTCCCGCATCGGGCTCCCTGCTCGGCGGGGAGTCTGCTTCTCCCTCTGACCCTCCCCCCTCTCATGTGCTCTCTCTCTCAAATAAATAAATAAAATCTTAAAAAAAAACAAAAAAGGGTGAACCTCATCCAAAGGGTGACATTTGATCCAACAAAGACACAAAGGCAGTGACTAGCAAGCCCTGCGATGTCTGGGGAAAGAGCTTCTGGGCAGAGGGAATCTGCTGATGGGCACATGCTCCCAGCAGGCATGTCTGGGGGGACACGTGTGCCTGAGGGTGTCTGGCTCGCCTGGCACAGTCGTGTGCGCTCGCCACTGCTGGTCTGCAACACGCACGGGCGTGAGATGTAGGAGAGCGTGAGCCACGAGGTCCCAGCCCGGGCTGCCATTTCTGGAGTCTCACTCCAGGCCAGGCACCAAGCCCAAGTCCTCACGGTCACTACCTCTCACTTCATCCTTGAGAGAAGAGCGGTTATTATTTCCACTTTACAGACAAGGAAGCTGGTGCCAGAGAGGTCGAACAGGTGTGGCTGGCTCCAGGGCCATTCCTGTTAACCCCTGCGCCCTCCGGCCCCTGCGTGTCCTGTACGTGTTTGTGGCGGGGCACATTTGGCATGCGACCCTTTGTGCTTCTGTGCATTTACCATTTTGTGGAGGCCTAGGGCGGCGTAGCAGTGTGGCGAGGGTATATTTTCTTGATGTACACGACACCAGCTGTGGCTGGTGGTGACTACGTCAGAGACCCATGGTGGCAGCAAGTGTGCCTGTGGGCGTGTTTGGGGGTGCTGCAGGGTTTCTGGGTGTGAGAAAAACAGTGACTCAGTGGCCGGCATTGTTCTCGCAGGGACAGTTCCTGCAGCCGTCTAAGATGCCAGGACAGGGGCGCCTGGGTGGCTCAGTCGTTAAGCGTCTGCCTTCGGCTCACGTCATGATCCCAGGGTCCTGGGATCGAGCCCTGCATCGGGCTCCCTGCTCAGCGGGAAGCCTGCTTCTCCCTCTCCCACTCCCCCTGCTTGTGTTCCCTCTCTCGCTGTCTCTCTCTGTGTGTCAAATAAATAAATAAAATCTTTAAAAAAAAAAAAGATGCCAGGACAGGCAGAAATCAAGAACTGGGAATCAGAGCCAGAGAGGGGAAAGCTGAGGGAGGAAAGCCCACCCCTCCCACCCCACAGGGCTCCCCCAGCCACAGTCCACCCGCCCCTTATGGGCCACGGTGGGTGGGGGAGCTCCAAAGGGAGAAGAGGCACTGCTGTGAACTTTGGGGAGCAGAAGACATGCCCTCGGCCAGCGACATGTCCCGCGCTTTCCACCCGTCTCCATGCTTCCAGCCCCAGGAGGCTGACCTCTGCGGGCTGTGCATCAATGGCTCCCTTGTTCTCAGCCTTCCTGTCGCGTTCAGCCAATGAGAGGAGATGGAAAGGAGAATGGGGTGTTTATTCCGCCTGTTCCCTCCCCACCAGGCTGCCATGGCTGGCTGCATCTCTCAGCCAAAGGCCACTGCTCCTGTCGAGGCGCACCCCTCCCCCTGGGAAAGGCTCCCCACTCTTGCTAGCCCCAGAGAGCTGCACCATCCCTTGGCCGGTTCTTAAGGCCACCGTTTTGGAAATAATCCCTTTTGAAATCTCTTCCCAGTTTGAGGGTGCCCTGTGTCCTGCTGGGGCCCTGACTGACACACAGGCCCCCGTCGTCACCAGCACAGTCACACACAGTCCTCCGCGGATCAGCACGCCACCATGTTATCACAAGTGTGTGCCACCTTCTCGGGGCACACAGTCCCATCCCCCAGCTCCCTCATCACATCCTTCACTGGGGGAGACTTCGTGCAGAGGGGCAGCCTGGAGCCAGATCAAGGGGGAAGCAGTCTGCCAATCAGTCAACAGGGCCAGACTGCCAACCAAAACTACACGGAAGCTGCTCAGGGAACTGCCAACCTAAAGAGTCATGAGAGACACGCACAAAGGAAAGGCAGTAGGGACACTTGCAAAGTAAACCTCAAAATCACATGCCTTTGTCTCACATTATTGAAATTTATTCTTCCTGAATGTATAAATCAGGGGACTGAGTCAATAGACATTCATTTTGCAGAATACAAGTTCTGGGTTGTGTGTGAGTAAATGTGCCCCCCCTTTCCCTTTATTATCAGGATATTTGAATAAATATGCTCCCTGTTTTCATTTAAAACTTTGCTTTGAATTTTTATGTTGCTACCACCTCTCCCTGAGAAAGAGGTGCCCCTCCCGGTGGAGCCAGCAGCTGATCATCTTTCTGAGGGGCCACAGGCACACCCCTAGTCAGAGAGGACAAGGACAGTGGGGAAGGGAAACAGGGATTTCTCAGACCAACGTTTCCCCTCAAATAGGCCTCCCAGCGTTGTCAGAGTGAGAAGCCATGACATCAACCAAAATGGGGACCCCAGCTGCACTGTGACTTAAGAATGACGACTATATTTTAAAAGAAATCCCTTTCATTTTCACATTGGGAATGTTTGCTGCTTTCTTAAATAATCTGGTTGCATCTCAGAGGACCTGTCGTAACATTTCCAAGCATACAGTGTCAGCCAAAATCAAATGTGGCTTAGATAAGGAGATTCAGAGTATAGGCACCTTCCCCAGAACCCAGCACCTTGCTACCATTGAGTGCAAGGCCCCTGTGAAGGGAGGACGGTGCCAAGATTGCATGGGATCAATTCGGTTGTGTAAGGTTGCGGGACGTCTTCCTGAAGGAGATGCCCAGGGCAGGAGCAGAATCCAGGAGTCCAGATCGGTAGAGTGGAGGCTCTGAGGATCTGGGAGGAGCTGGAAAGAATCATTTCAAGAGCTTTAATTACCTCCTTCCCACAGCCACCTAGCCCCACCCAAACCCTTCAACATCCGCCTCAAGAGGGGCCATGGTGGAGAGAAGGTACAGGCAATATTATGAAGCAGGGTTCCACTGGCTCCTGCCCTGGAAGGGATGGGGGCTCCTGGGATAAGCAGAGGTTCCCTTGGGCCTTTGTCCTTGGCTGGGATCCCCACTGGTCTGAGCAGCTGGAATGGAATGTTCCTGGGAAGAAAGCCTGCCCCTCCTCCACCTCTCCCCTTATGGAATTCCCCAGGGCCCACAGTAGGGGGGAGAAGGAGGATCGGTTCCAGGGATTCCTGATATGGCGATGCTCCGGGGAAGCAAAGGCCCAGGCTGCCTGGGGGCTCTGTCCTAGCAGTCTCTCCTGGGTTAGGCAGATTGGCTCTATCAAACATTTATGAATCTCCACTATGTGCCAGATGCTTAGTGTGACCTCTCATTCAACAGTCAAGTTATCTCCTCTCCAGTTCCCAATAAGACACACCACACACACATACACACAGGAAACTGGCCCAGAGAAGGGAAGTCATTTGCCCAAGGTCTTCCAGCTGAGAAGTTACATGCAAACACTGAATCCCAGATGTCTTATTCCAAGCTTGGGGCGCTTTCTGCCTCCACCATGGAGCCTGTCCTCCTCCTCCTCTGCCATCCAAGGCTCTCTGCTCTCCTTGGCACCAAACATTCCAGCCAGGTAGGCAGGGAGAGGAGGAAGCCCTCCAAGGCAAGCCCAGGCCCTGAGCCTCGTTGGCCTGCCCTTGCCTGAAGCCAGATGTGCTGACTCAGTCTGACTCAACCCCCAGAGCCCAGACAACCAGGGTGGGGAGCCAGCTTCTGGGGGTGTGCCCAGACCTTGGTGGTGGTGATTGGGGAGGGGGGTGCACCTTCCGCCACCCTTCCAGCATCTCATCACATCCCTCCCAGATCCGAGGACCAGGGGTCACGGTACTCAGACTTAAAGGGTAAGAACCCGGAAACCCCCCAAATGGAGTCCTTACTAGCCTGATAAATGAAAAGCCACACAGACTAATGTTTAAAGGACCCCTCATTTACAGGTTCTAGGTCCTTGGGCAAGTCACCTGCCCTACCTGATCCTCAGTTTCCTCATCCATGGAAATGGGGATAATAACCCCTACTTTGCAGAGTTGCTGGGAGGATTATAACAGATAAAGGGTGTAAAGTGCTCAGCACAGTGCCCAGCATGGAGGTGGTTAATATATTCCAGAACCAAGGAACCTGGCCAGGGTTCGGTCAAGGACTAATGGAGGAAGAAATAGGCTGGAGATCTCCCAAATTTCCCCAGTGCCTCCTCCCCCTGGCGGTAAAGCAGGGAGCCTCTCTTTTATCTCTGAGAAGCCTGGGCTATTGGGTTTTCTCTAGGGACCTGGCAGGAGGGAAAGATGGGGGAGGCCTCCTTAAGACTGCCCACTACGGGTTTGGAGCACCGTAGCTGTGACCTGTTTAAGCTTCGTCTCTAGGAAGCCAACCTGGCCCCCAGGTGGCTGCAGAATGTGATGTTCCGATCAATTATCAGTGTAACATCTCTGAGGAGCGAAATGACTACAGCCTTTCACTCAGACGGTGACCGCCCACAGGGGCAACATTTTTGCAGTTAAGTCTTTCTTGATGGACCTTCCTCCGGGGTCCGGGGCCGGGCCCAACCACAGGCCCAAACTTGCGCCCCTTCTCTGAATGACCGCCACGCCCCGCTCGTTCCGCCAGACCCTTAAAACTCAAGGCCTAGGAAGGCTGGGCAGGACGGGAGGGGGCTGGTCGGGGGCGGGGACCCCGGGGACCCCAGGGGCCAAGCCTGCTCCAGGCCACGCCCCCACGCCCCGGGAAGCAGCCCCACACTGCCCTCTGGTGGCGCCGCCCAGAGACGCCTTCACTGGGCTAGGGCCCTCCAAAAGAGGGAAGGGCTTATCCAGGGGAGGGGCAAGTTCTAAATTAGAACCCTGAACTCCCTCCCAGCCCCAAACGCTGTCCTGAAGGATGGCTCCTGTTCTCATTTCCCTTTGCTGAAATCCCAGATTCACTGCTGGCCATCGAAGTTCTCAAGACCGCCAGGGCTGGGGCCATCAAGAAAGTGTTCAGGAATCTGGGGCGGGGCGGGACGAGGCGGGGGGTGGGGGGCATGTCAGTCACCAGTCCAGGGGCTATGGTTATTTGTGAAGGCCTAAAAATAGCCCTCCAACAACACAACTTGCCCAGCCCCAGAGGGTCTCCTGGGATAGTGACTGCCAGGGAAGGCTGCCTGGAGGAGGGCTGGGACACGAACCCTTAAGAGAAGAGCCCCTCTGAAATCAGTGCTCCTTCTTGAGCCCCTGGACTGAGTAGGTAACAGTGTTTGTTGACTGAGGAGAAAACGGAGCGTCCTAGAGGGGGCTGGGTGGGCCAGACAGGGGTGGGAAAGTGACTTTTATTAGTTGGCCGAGGAGTAGTGGGCAGAGTACTGAACTATGAGCTGGGGTTCAAGTCACTGAGCACCGTGTTCCCCAGGTCAAGGCCCTTGGTGAGAGGCAGTGGGACATCTAGAAGGGGGGAAGGGGGACAGAGCCACCTGTGACACTAGGACCAATCTCCATCTCCCACACACATGCATCACTTTCTCCAGCAAGAGCCATCTCTAATTGCTCACTCCCTGCCCCCTCCAAATCAGGACAAAGCTGACGATAATAAATCCCAGAGAAAGGCAACACTACGATGGCACAGGGCACTTTACACCACTAGCTAAAAGCTTCTCTGGACCAAGTGCCCCTCTCCCGTACAACGCAGAAAACCAACAGTACTGGCTGCATCCCAGCGCCGCAGCTTGAGCTCCTGTCGCCTCCAGGACGTCCGTTTTCTCTCTGGGCCTCTAGACCCCGCATGAACTGAGTAGCTTCAGAAGGTTCTCCCTCTCCACGGAGGCCAGAGGATGCCAGGGCCCCTCACTGCTCTATCAGACTCCCTGAGACCTCCTCCTGGACTGCCCTTCCCCAGCTAAGCATGGGGTTTGGAAAGGCCTGGATGTTAGAAACCAGCCCCAAAGTTTGGTACCTGAGGAGAGGAAGAGGAAGGGCTGATGAGAGTCGGGGGAGGGCCCTTGGGGCTCTGCCTTTCAGAACAACGCACCTGACCCTCAAGACTCTAGGATTCAACCAGATTCCTGGGACTCTGATGTTCTCATCCTATTCTCTTTTCCCTATTTCCAAGCCCTGACATGAGGGAGGACAGCTATGTTCAGAGAGGGACTGAGAAAACTGGCCCAGAGAGGAGGCGGAGTTGTTCTAGGTCACACAGCAGACAGGCTGGACAGCTCTCTGTAGCCCTGCCCCTGGGCAGGGAGGAGACACATGGGAAGGACACACACAGGACTGGGACCTAGTTCTGTCCAGTGCTGGCATGTGACCTTAACACTCTGTAAAATGAGGACTTTAAATCAGCTCCTGGCTCCACCAGTAAAAGCAGTGCCTGTTTCTAGGTGTGATTTAAAAGAATAAGCAAAAAATAAAATAAAAATAAAAATAAATAAAAGAATAAAGCATTCCTCCGTGACTTAAGGAGGAAGAAGACCTCTGCCCTGTGTTAACCTCACTACAGCCCTTCCCAGAAGTGAGGACAACCACTTCGCGGACTGGCGAGGGAGGCTGCAGTCCAATCAGCAGATGAGCAGCAAAGCAGCAGCCAGGCAATTCACAGCTGTGGGGGGTCCTGAAGGGCATGCGGACAGGAAGAGAAGTCAATCTCATTCCAGATCTGGCCCTTTAAGGCCCCCCTTTCTAGAAGCAGATGACATACCTGCCCCCTTGGGGCCCATTAAAGGATGTAACCTGGCTTCATCCCTGGCAGAGCCATCTTAGAGACAGGTTGGGAGGGGGGCCCCTAGGAGAGCAGGTGAGGCGTTAGAGACTTACCAAACACCCACCCTGGTTATCTAAGTCAGGATGTACTCTTGGCAAAACTGCTTGAGAGCATAAGAAAAGATCTGTCTCCTAGAAGTGGAAGGGCCTAAGGATGATGGAAACAAATCCTCAACCTCTCTGGGATGCCATCCCCTCAAATGGGAAACAGGGGCTTAGGAGAGAATTTAGTGGTACATCGTTGGCCCAGCCCCCACCCCATCCTGGGACCTCATTATTCTGTCCTCCCCGAAGGTGTGGAGCTGGGCAGTGCCAGAAAGCCAGCAGTCTCAAGGGCAAGGCTCTTCTTACAGCCACAATGGACCCAGGAAAGGCAACGCGGGTTGGGGGTGGGGGGGAGGGCGTGGAGGAGGCCTGCGTCAGCGCAGGTTCCAACTGGTAAAAGTTTGCGGGCAAACCCCTCCTGGAATCTGAGCATCTTCAATTTATCCAACTCTATAATGGGGACTTGGATCGCTTCTCGGCCTTTTGGCTAAGATCAAGTGTAGTATAATGGGGACTTGGTGCTACCATCTCACTCCCCAGGAGGGCTGGGAGAGACAGTTACAAAGTGGCCAGCTTTATTAGGGACCCAGCGGACTCCAGAAGCCCCAGGGAAGGGAGATCCGGGGCCCGGCACCACCCCGCCCCGCCCCCTCAGACGCACCAGCCGCCAAGACCGCACCTCAGCCTCCTTCACTGGGCCCCTGGCCCCCCGACTGTTTCTTCTTGGGGTCCATCAGTCCTTCCATCCGCGTCGGTGACGCCGTCCATCCAGCCGACGTCCCAGTCCGTCGGTCGGCCCCTCGGCGATGGCCTGTCGGGGGTGGCCAGGGGTCCCGGCGCTGAGGTCAGCGCTGGGGGGAGGCGGGGCCGCGGGGCGGGC